GAGACACTCACTCATGCTACTCAGAGAACCGGGGTTATATACATAACCCTAAGTTCTCTCTCTTTTGCTTGTTTTTATATTTATTATCTAGCATTTGAATTAAAGCTCAGTGACTCCCCCGTTACAGTGTAATTACCTGAAATGTTTAAAATGATAATCCAGATGTTTATTATCTTATTAACCAAAATAACTTATTCTTGCTCCAATTAATCAGTGTGAACTCTGACCTCAGAGGCCACCTCCCAGTCTGGCCGACCATCGCTGTCCTTCAGCTCCACGTACGGCTTCTCGTGGACTCTGTTCAGGTCTTCGTGGAGGCCGTCCAGGAGGAAGGCCAGCAGCTCCTGAGAGTCCTGCTGCTGGAAGCCATTGAAACGGGGGGCGTACTTTGCTATCGTCCACTAAAGCAATGAATCATAAACTCTGATTAGAACATAAGCACGACAAAACATAGCTGAGCCAAAAATATCATACTAGCTAAGACAGTCCCACACTATCACTTTAATATTCTGTGGCCTCCTGTGGATGTGCACCCGCCTGCACATGAAACTCTTTTTGTGACTAATATATTGGAAATGCTGCAACTTCTCACCCTGAGTTTGAGTGGAGCTACATTCTTCTGTGTCCCACTCCACAGCTCCATCACCAGGTCGCCATAACACTTGGCCATGTGACCTCGCATCCCAATAGGATTGGTTCTATTGATACACCAAAAAAAAAGTTAGTTAAAATGAAAATGTTTGTTTTTCCCCTCATTGTTGTTTTGTATTCATTATAAACAGTTGGTTTTCTGTTTTTCTTTAAACTATATCCACAAATACTCAATAAAATATTTTGAATAAAAGGCACCTGTTGAGCTCGTAGAGGTGTCTCCCTGAGAGGAAGTAGTCTGTGAGAGGCTTGGTGTTGCTCACACACTGGATGCTCGAGTTCATGAAGCAGGTGTTGCCAAGGTTACTGAGGCCAGTCGCCCCTTTCTCTGTGGGAACTGTGTTGGGATACAAAGACGTGCTGTTCAGATGCTAAAATGCTTAACTGAAGAAAAATGAGTCATACATACATTCAATATGTTTTTTACATATGAGAATTTATGCTGGAGAATAAAGGACATGAGGCCAAACTGTCTTTGAACGCTTAGGAGTCCTCAAAAAACAAACACCTAAACAAAGAAACAAAAAACCTTTGAACTCCAAGTACTTTTACTTTACTTCAAAACAAACTTTATACAAATTTTAAAAATGGATCAAAGGGTTAAAAACATCCTTTTTTCCTCTTTAGACATAATTCTGTATAATTATTATTATTATTATTATAATGTATTTAGTGATATAATCTGCACTGGTCATAGTTACTTCTTGGATTTTGGAGTTCAACATTTTCCAGAGCTCGGGCGCCGCTTTAGCTCACTAGACCAAGCAACCATATTGTGGTGGATTTTTGTGTGATATGTATAACTATGTAACTATATACACTATATATCTATGTGCTCTGAACATATATATTTTAACTTTAATGTAGAGTCTTAAGCACAAGACATTTTGCTTCACCGAGGTTATTAAGGTTTTACAGTAACAGGGCAGTTAATGCTGTTGGGAGTTCGCCTGAATAACTCACTCTCCAGCTCCGGTAACTGACCTTCACTAATACACACTCAACATCTTTCATGCAGCACAACCAAAGCAGTAACATTGTAACAGAGATCCTGAACACATCACGATAAAATACCCTATGATATAATCACACACACACACACACACACACACTGAAGTGTTTTTATATATGAGAAAGCATGTATGTTATACGATTGTGCCACTTGCTGTATAAGATTTAATAATTAGGATTAATGTGTGATCTTTGACTGTGTCATGACCTATTGTGATAAGCCAGAGCAGGGGGTAGCCGGAGTCCTGACTGGCCTTTGGCCAAGACCTTGGCCGCTACCTGACCCCTGCAGCTGTGTTTGGATGGGTGGGAAAGTTACCCAGCAGCAGGGGGCGGGGATACTGGTCCCTGTATTAGGGGACCAGAGGACACCCCCAGAGCTCTTTTTCCTCCTGCTGCTGCCTCCTGTCTGTCTCGGTGTTGCTCTGCTGTCTGTGCTTAAGGCTGTACACCCCGGGGTTTTGCTTTGCTTGCTTTCTGCTTTGCAATTTTCTTGCTAAATGTCTGTATGTATTTTTCCTGCTGTTCATATGATTCAGTGTATTAAACTCTGTTCCAAGAATTCTACTCTTTTCCAGAGCATCTTTTTGAGTGTCTTGATTTTAATTGGATCTAAAGAGGTTGGATCTCCACATCGTTGGTGGGAAAAGGTTATCAGGGTGGCTTCAAAATATGCGACCACAATATGAGGCCGCGTGGCTGAGAGCGGCCGGCCCGGGTTCGAATCCGACCCGTGGCCGTTTGCCGCACGTCTCCCCCCCGCTCTCTCGTCACTCTACCCTTTCAAATAAAGCTGTACAAATGCCAAAAAATGATCTCCAGAGCCTTTTCTTTAGAGGCAAAAGCAGAAGAAACATTACAGCATCCTATCAGAGCATGCCAGCGGTTGCACAGTGCGCTCTTTAAACTTACCTTTGTGTCTGTCCATCTTACTACTGTTGGCAATGAAAGACATTTCCTCAGGCCAGCTCATGTCTTTGTTCCTGACTGTGGAGAAACAAAAGACATGTTTGTTCCACTCTGCTGTGCCGTGATACAGAACGATCAGCAACTCTGGGGAGAAACAACACCTTCAATAACCAGCTGCTGCTCATCCTGGATCTTCAGGCTTTCCAGTGTGTGATCTTCATCATCCAGAAGTGTGAGGTAGTTCTGGTGGACAACAGGTAAAGGAAACAGGAGAAGATTGGTTGCAGTTCATATGCTGTTTAATAACTTTTGACTTCTTTCAGCACTGGGCTAACAGCTCTGCTCAGCTTTCTTCTGTGTCAGCTTATTTTAAAAGCAGCTGTAGTCTGGGCCGGGTTAATCTGCAAGAAGGTCCTGGGGGGCAAAACGATCTGCTGGGCCACAGACTGCTCCACACTGAACGAATGCACATATAAGTTCAGACTTACCACCACCCCCAACTTTCAGCTACATAATAATGTCTACAGGAAGCATCTAGCACTCTGCTTTGTAGCAGCAGTGCTTCCTGCAGGAGATTCAAGCTTTCTTCAATAGAAATGGGATTTAGGGAACAACAAGGCTTTTAAAAGCAGTGGATTTCTCCCTGTTAAACATACTTTCATGCAGTTGGATGTGCGCTTTGGGATTCTGAAAGTGTTCTGACACTGGGAATACATTTTCCTTTAAAATGCATTCAGTGTGCTGCAGTAAACTCTAATAAAGGCTCGTATGGCCTCCATAAACAATAATCTCTCCAGGTCTGTCCAGCACTCTCATCTGAAGCTCTGTCCTACGAAACGCTTTCTTGTCTGTTTTCCTTTTAAGCATCTCATCAGCTTCATGACAGTAAAGCTCCTTAATAACGCTGCAAACATCTGGGCCTGTTGCGTTTCTGGTTGTTCTCTACTTTCTCTGGAAACTTGAACCAAAGCAGACATTGGCTAACATATATCTGATATCTCATCAGAGCCCAAAAATATAACAACAGTGTGTGTGTGTCTCAAAGTCCAGGGTTAAATAGCGGGGATCGCTGTGAGAGATTTGATCCTCACCTCACTGTTGTAGAGCCAGAGCCTCATGTCCTCCTCCTTGATGCGGAGCCTTTGCGACAGGTACAGGTGGATGTCCTTAATGGTGCCCATGCGGCTGAAGCAGCCCGTGTAGGCCAGCATCCTCTTCAGAGGAGCGTTGGGGGATGGCACGTTACCTGCTCGAAGAAAGCAACAGTGACATACCCCAGCCACGCTCGGATGCAATTATTCATTCACACTTATGTCTGTTCCCATTGGCTCTCACATAATCACTGTTCATCTGTTCACAGGTTGGCAGACCCAAACAGCTGATCGGTACCAACAGCAGCATGTTGCTGACTGAGGATTAGTTGTAAGAAAGCAGCAAGAAAAGGGCAATCAGTGCAGGTTTGATTGGTCAATCAACTTAGTGAATTTAGAGGACTGTGTGTGGATTAAATCAAACACAAACCAGGCAACATTAGTCCTGTTACAATCGAGATTGATTGGAGGGTTTTTCATGTGCACAGCTTTGTAATTAAGCATCCTATAAACTTGGTGTGATGCTTCACCGCCGCCTACAGCTGTCAGGATGACATTCTGTGGAATATGAGGTATAAATTAGATCTACAGTATATCAGATACTCGACTCCATGCCTAACAAAGGTCTGAATGCCCAGCAATGACAGCGGCTGCTCAGATAGCGTGAGTCACGATGGAAGCTAAAACTCAGCGGGCTCTGTGAAACCTGTAACCAGAAACTCGATCTGTTGACTTGATTAGTGCCGGCAAGCTCGGGGTGAGCGCCGAGCATCTCCAATCTGATTACAGCTCGAGTGACTACGCACGCCTACGCATTTCGCCTCGTCATCTCGCCGCAGTGGGACATCTTTTGTTTACAGGTGTCCGTTTATACACTATGCAAGAGAGAATGAACCGCTGAGCTGAAAATCAGGCATCACTTACTGTGTGAGTGGGTGGGTCTATAAATAGAGTCAACTGGGAGCGTTTTACCTCATATGGCTGAGCAGCCATCTACCTACAGCTCACTCACACCTGCTGGAAAAGATTCCAAGGATCTGGAGAAAGAAACTACTGACAAAGCTAAACGTCAATATTGGGCTGCAAGCTGCCACTGCCATGTGTTCATGTCACCCAGTAATTAGAAATGAAGGTTGAAGTTCTATCAAACAAAGAAGAATCAGGAAATGAACATCCAGGCCCAGTAAGACTGCTGGCTTTATGGTTTTAAAATGGACCGAGGCACAGAAACTGCTTTGTGGACCAATGAAGAGAGGGGCCACTGACGGTCTAGGGTGCATCAGAGCCCTTCCAGCACAGGTTTCACATCTGGAAAGACAGCATCAGTGCAGAAAGTTACAGTGAAGTTAGAACCTGCAAGTGCACTGGAACAATGCACACTGCATGTATTACCACAGCGTGGCTTCATACTAGTCGGGGCCCTAAAACGGCAGTCCAGACCTTTGACCGACTAAAAACACTTCTTAAAATAACTGAACACTGAAGACCCCACAGGAGCAGGCGGAGTCGTCTCGGACAAGAACAAAAGCATCACTGCTGTCCTCAGGTCTGTTTACAGGTGCTGTTGAGACAGGAAGCTGCGTAGCTGTGAACTCGCTGCAGTCTCCGTGTTTTAAACGTGTTCAAAATGAGCTCATAGTTTTCTTAGTTTAAACATCTGACGTTGTCCACAACACGGATCTGTGAGAAAATCATTGTGTTTTTTAGAATTGGGGACGTAACCATAGCAACAGGTTTTCTGCTGACAGGAAGCACATTTCTTTATGTGGTGATGGATAACGTTTAGAAACAGCTGCTGCTCCCTGTTTGGGGTTTTCCTGAAGTTTCCTGATTTTGGAAATTGTTCTGAAAGTCTTGCAGGGAGACTGAGGCGACTGTGATTACGCCGCTCACTGCTCCACCTGCTAAATAACACTACGACGAGCTGTGTAGATGAAAATAAAATGGTTTGATTATTCCAGTGTTAGACTGATCAGCATTTCTCCTTTGTGCGCCGTGGGTTCACTCCAGAGAATCGCCTGGGTTGGATCAGTCAACTTAAAGAAGATTAACGGAGAGGAGGCGGGGGATGCGGGGTTGCTGAATGAAGCACTGTTCGACGGCTTGCTCTGGTCTTGCTGCAGGCTTACATTACCTCTTGTGGGGGGTAAATTCGGTGGGAACATTCGCAGGCTGGTCATACCCATATTGACCCAGATGTTGGACTGGGGGGAGCGCGTGGCCGGCTGCTGGCGAAGGAAGAGGAGGTAGCGGGGGAAGAGTTCCAGCTCCGGCTGGCCTGTCTTACTTTCCAAGATTACCTGCAGGGGAAGGAATTTCAAAGGCCCATGAAACATTCTTGTACTAATAATCAACATAAAACACAAGAGACATGCAGCACATCTGAATATAAACCTTTTTTCTGCACTCTTAACTTTAATCTGCACTTAAATCTGAAACCATGTGACTTCTACGCAGCTAAAGTGGAGTACAATAAATGCACGTAATACTAGTAAAGTAGGATATTTACTGAGAGAACATGTGCTTACTATCTGCATGTTACTGAAGTTCAACAGATGACCTTATGTACAATATAAAGCCCCTGAGGAAACTGTTGTTGTGATTTGGAGCTTTATAAATAAAGCTGAATTTGACGGCAGTGTGGTAACCCGTGGAAACGTCATCAGTGCTAATGACTGTCACAGTCGTGGTTCTCTGTGCATGCTTGGATAAAAGCGAGGGAGTACAAAAACACACATGTGCTGTATTTATTTTTATTGAATTTGTATAGAAAGCAGCTACTTTTTAACTTCCAGTGCACTTTTCAGTTTTGCCTACACACTCATTTGTTTGCTCATGGATGACCTGCTCCAGCCCAGCAGCTGATTGATTATTCCCAGGTACTGCATCACAGTGAAAGTGAAGTTCATTAGCTTGTGAGTGGTTTGCTGTGTTCACTCACCGGTCGCGGCAGGCTGAGGTTGGCACCGTACCAGTGGTAGAGCGCCCGCCACACAGGCTCTGGCACCGTCTCAAAGTCTCTACGAGGCAGCAGCTGCAGGGAGCGTTTTAGCCTGCCGCCCTCCATAGTTAACGTGGGCGCCTGCACAGGACACGGGACACACATCAGCATTCGAATAAGGGCACAAAGACGCTGGTCTGTCTCTCTGAATTACGCATAATAAAAAGAGACAGCACCCTGATGCTACACACGAGCAGAAATGCTGCGATGATTACAGAAAGATAAGACAAAAGGAAAGAGAGGTGCCATCTGGCCCCGCGGAGCCTTTGCCAGCAGATGAGGAGCGACTCCAAAACAAACCGAGAAAGAATCTGTTTTTACACGTGCTAAAGATTGCAGACGCCCTCATTGTCAAGAGCCAGGACCACATCTGTCTCTTAGACGCACAGCTTTGTAAAACATGATGCACGAGCACCACCCAGAATGCAAATCAGGAGGGAGTGCAACGCTGCTGGAATGAGCGGCTTCTCTGAGCTCGTGTGTCAAACATACGCTCCAGCTGAGCTGTGAACGTGATACGGGACGCACGCTATGCCTGAAAAGCTGCGACCTTATTACAGCCATACTGAGTTAGTCCTTGCCTTCATGGGGTCAGTGGTGACCAGAGGCTGGTTGTCGATGGCTCCGGGTCTTTGTGCTGCCAGCTGGGAGGGGAGGTGGCCGTTGGCTCCAGAAAAACACTGATTGTTGTTGTCTGAGACGTTGTGCTGACGTGCGAAACAGCTCTCTGTGGCTGAGGCTACCTGTGGGCTCAGTGCTGCTGAGACAGAGAGGGAGCAGAGCAAATACATAGTACAAAAATAACACCCACGATTTTCATTTTGATCTACAATCCGTTTCTATAAAGAGATGTGCGGACTGACCAGTTTCTGTAGCCTCTGAGGCACTGGACACGGCATCGGGTGACCTCTCCTCGGTGGGGCTGACGTGGCCGGACGTGGCCGGTCCTCCCAGGCTTTCAGGGAGGGCAGGCTCGACGGTGGCCGTGGCCATTGGAGTTCTGAGTGAGCTCAGGATGGACGGCTGTTCCACCACGATGCCCTTATGCTCCTGAGGGGAAGACGACCCAATTGGCAAGATTGTTTACCGTGAGAGCTGCTATCACGTTTTATCTTACTGGCTGATGGTCACTGCTTCTGTCCCAGTGAAGTTACAGCACAAGATGCAACGATGAGTCTGACACACTGACTGGAAGTGCATGAATGGAAACAGAAACTGTCGCAGATGTTTTTAAGTGGGGGGAAATATAAATACATATACCACTGCTAAATCGTACACACCCGAGACATATATAAATAATAACAGGACAGCTGTCACGCATGTAATGGCCTGTAGCTAAGCTTTGTAGTGATGTATGAAAGTGAATGAGAGGTGAAGGTGAAAACAGGGCACTCGACTTTAAAAGGCCCCGGATAAACAAATGCATGGAGTAAAGAGATTGTGACCAGTTCCTGTTTCTGTGCAGAAAAGGCGACTCAAAGAGTGTCCGCTGAATATTCGATCCTGTGCTGTTCACCGTACAGCATCATGGGACACTGCCTAACATATGTTAACCACAGTGCTGTCAGCTATTAGCAGCTATATTTAAAGCTTTCCCCATAATGACAATGTTTGACAACCTCCCCGTACCCTTAATGACAAGTTGTGACATCTTGGGACATATCAGAGGTGGTGTGACGACCATCAGAACAGGTTCCAGGTGTTAGACAGAGATCAGACTCATTTCTAACGCGCGCTCAATCATTTTGCTCCCGACGCCAGAAACCTGCTCAGCTCAGAAAACAGAAACAGACGTCTGAGGGGAAAAGAGCTCAATAAAAAAATCCCGTTAACCCTTTAAGACCTACCATAGAACCAAGTCCGCCAGAGCTTATATTATATTTTTACATGCTGTGGAGCCATTTTCAGGAGCATTTCAAGTTCCTATACATCAATACAACCATTATAGCCCAAATTCTAATAATATGTCTGCATTAAGTGCATAGTAATTACATAAATTGCAAAAAAGTGCAATAAACTACAAAAAAATTTAAAATCGTTTTTGATTTTTTAACATATATTTCTAGTTAGAGAAATTTAAGAGGCTTATCCCTCAAAACTTTAAATACAAAAAAGTTGCACAAACTAGTTTCCCACCACAGGAAATTTATTTTGAGTGTCTTCATAGTTTTTTTTTTTAAATACACCAATTTTTATACACTGCAGGAAAAACTAAAATAAATATTATGATGCAAATTTGCAAAAAAGCAGCACATGCATCAAAATAAACTATTTCCAGCAGTGCAATATGAGTCCTCAGCATCCCAGAAACGACACAGAAAGTCATAAAGTCAAACATAACTTTTAAAAACACCAGTATAGGCTCATGAGGCCCTGATGGTAAAAAAACTACACTTCCGATTTCGGGCAGGTCATGGCGGACATGCAATAGTTCGCGCTGACGTCTATTCCAACGTAGGAAGTGTTACAAACAGCTGATCAGATCGGCAAAGCGTGTTTCTGGAATATTATGTTTTTGTTGCTGCAACCGCTTTTTATGCAGTTTTTGCAAAGCTTTATGTGGAAGGAAACCGTGACCGAGGACAAGCTGATGGTATCAGATGTAAGTACAACTCCTCTGGTTTCATATGCAAAAACAAATTATTGTGCTAGCTTACGCGGTTGCAGTGCTACCGGGATTTAAAAATAGTTACGCAAAACAGAGCGTGCCCGCTCCGACCGGCTTTAAAGGGTTAATGCACTACTTACATATTTAACGTAGTCTTTCCACTGCTGCCACCACAGCATCGAGATGAGGAACCAGTTCTGGCCTTGCTGCAGCCCATGTCTGCTCTCCCTCTCTAACCAACCCCTACACACACACACACAAAGGAGAAAATCACAAATCAAATGAGAAACATCGAACAGACCTTTCAACCAAACAATGACTGGACAGGTGGCGAGGACAGGTACGTACCTGATGATTTGCCCCTCCTCCTCTGGAGTAGCAGGCCTGAGCCCCAGGACTATGTGGCACACCTGAACCGAGATAAAGATGAAAATACACGAGGATAACAAATAAATACTCAACTTCAATGTGAACACGGTGTGAGTTTTAAGACCGTAGCATCTGGGTGCTGACCTGAAAAAGCAGGTTCAGGAACTCGTTGGCCAAAGCGCTCTTTACACTCCAGATCTGGTAGTCCTCGAGGGTCAGGTGACCCAGCTGGTGGAGAGTGAAATAGAACCAAGGCGAACATAATCAGGCACGCAACTCTGAAAATAAACACTGCTGTGACACCTTCGAATAGCTGTGGGTACGATAAGGTGGCTGAGGACTGCGAGGTTATTGTCAGTGAGCAGCCAACACTCACATGGCTGCGTGAAAAGTGTTTGCTTTTTCTGAACGAGAGCAATGATTTCTTTAAAGCTGCGGACGCTTTAAAAGCCTTAAAAATTAATCATGAATACTAATGAGCATTTATGTATTTAGAGGTTTTGCACAGGACTGTGTTCCAACGACGATAACATGGAGCTGTCTTACCTTAGTTGTGTCGTGCATCTTTAGGATGTCTTCTACTATGTCTGACACACTACTCTGCAGCTCCTGCAACAGCAACACAATAGATCAGCATGCAGCAAAACACAGTAAGCGCCTCGTCTTAACCTCCTCCAGATCTGCAGCAGGCCATCACTGAGCTCCCGGACAGTCTGACGCGCAACCTGCTGACACTCGATGCTCTGATGTCTCAGACTCGGATTTAGGTTGGGTGAGCATGGGAGCAGTGGACGGCACCACTTCGTTCATCCTTTGGTACCTGACTGCGCGTTTGCACCACGTGAGGCCGGGCATTGTCGTGCACCAGTAAGAACCCACTACACCAGAGGAGGGTCTGACAGTGGGTCAGTGGAGTTCATGCTGGTACCTGATGGCAGCCAGGGTGCCGTTAACTAGCCCGTAGAGGTCTGTATGTCCCTCTGTGGATATGCCCCCCTACTGAACAAGGTTACATGCAACAATGTTCTCCATGACTCATTCAGACCTTTTTACATCTGTCACATGTGCTCAGGGTGAACCTGCTCTCATCTGTGAAAAACAGAAGGTGCCAGTGATGCCAGGGCTCTCAGGCCACCGTCATGAAGGTTGTTTGGTCAGAGACATTCACACCAGTGCTGGAGGTCATTTTGTAGCTCTGGCAGTGCTTATCCTGTTCCTCCGTGCACAAAGGAGCAGATACCGGTCCTGCTGACGGTTAAGGACCTTCTGGAGTCGTGTCCAGCTCTCCTAGAGTAACTGTCTGTCTCCTGGAATCTCCTTCATGTTCTTCAGACTGTGCTGAAGCAAACAGCAATCCTTCTGGCAATGGCAAAATATTGATGTGCTATCCTGGAGGAGTTGAACTACCTGTGCAACCTCTGCAGGGTCCAGGTATCGCCTAATGCTACCAGTAACGCCCCTAGCCAAATGCAAAACTAGTGAAAAAAAAGACACGAGGAGGGAGAAATATCAGCTGTTAAACCAATGCTGATAGTGGAAAAGTTCACAAAGAGAACAAATTTACAGATTTACATTCTATTTATGCTGAATGTGCATATTTGCATACGTCTCTTAAACAGATCAGAAAATATTTTGTTATCAGAAAAAGAAAAACCTCTCTCAGTCACAAAACCCTGACTGCTATAATTACCTTCCACAGTTAAAAGAACAGAGCACAGTTCTGTGCATGAGTCAGGTTCCAGTAGGCATAAATATGAAAATTCACCTTTGATCGCTCTGGAGGGTTGTGTGCGTGTGTGTGACAGTGTGAGTTTACTTACAGGGAGTAAGTCTGTCCGATTGTCCTTCCACACCTCCAGCAAGGCCACCACCATTTCATGAAGCTCATCTCGAGACAGAACCCCATCACGGTCCACATCAAACACTTTAAAGCAAACTGGAAGTGAAAGAGACCAAAAAGACGTTTATGATGTTGATGAAGCACCACGCCGATGCATCGTGCCGTTCAGTGTACGAGCAGGAAATCCAACACGCTGCCACTGCTGCCAGTGCAAATGTAATTTCAAGCACCAGTGGAAGTCCTGATGAGAGCGGTCCATGACTGTACCGACCGATCGGGACTTTCTTTAAGGAAAAAAAAAGACTTTTAAACCCTGGATATCAGCTTCAACTGAGAAACGGGCTTGTTATGGGCAGCGGTGGGACTTGTGTGGGGTGTGTGTGTGGATCTGAATCCACAGCGAGCCTTACATTTCTGTCTCTCAGCAACAGGCCCCCTGCAGCATGCGGAGAGCCCACAAGAGATCTCTTTAAAGTCGATGTGATTGTCCCGATTTTCATCAAAGGCGTGAAACAAGCCTAAAAAACAAGATCAACAACACATAACATTAGGCACGCTTAAAGCAGGTCGTGTTCTCTGCTGAGGTCGCGTATTCAAAGTGAGAACGCCACTTTGGTCTCGTTTCTTCATCATTATTGCAAAGCTATGCAGATATGAAACTGAGTAAGTATCGTCTTACCTTCACTCAGTGACGCATGAATAGGAGGAGAGACGAGAGGAACGAAGGTTTCCAAGTCAAAGCGGCCGGTCCTGGACTGAGCTTTCAGCAACCAGTAGCGCTTCTCCAAGTCTATAATGTCAGACTCCTCCACTGCAGGAGACGCACAGAGACGGGCAGTCAGATATTTGTCACTGAAGGATCGTACTGCAGGCGAATGTTGCACAGTGACATTTGATTGAGCAGTTTCTCCACACTTTCCAAGAATTAGGAACAGCAAATCAGAAAGTTTTTATGAGACAGGTTTAAAGCCTGTTTGGACTTTCTAAAGTCAACGCATTCATCCAGAGACTGCCAACATATACATAAAGTGAAAACAAGACAAATGCAGAAGAACAAAATAAACCAAAAAACAAAAACTATATTTCTTCCTGAGACTGGCTCCAGGACGTCCGGTGTGCTAACACAACCGGCTGGGGTCCATCCACCGTTTCTGGGGTGTTGGTGTTTCTGCATCACTAAATGGAAGCACGGGACAGATGAGGTGCTGTGGTACAGAACAGCCAAGAACACGAGAGCCAAACGTCGTGTTCTGTTAGTCTGTTGCTGGGAACTCACAAACAGGTGTTTTAGTCTGTACACTGCTGCTCACAGTTGATTAAATCAGCATGCCAAACAAGCTAGCTAGTATCAGCTGATAACTTCACTCCACCCCCTTTTGCTCAAGGTCACTTCAAAATGTCACGTTGGAAGCTGACGGCGCCGTCTGTGTTTTTATTTCAAACAATATTATCCTGGTTACAGTAACAAAACTATGGAACATCTGCCACGCGGCTACACGGTTACTGTCTGCGGCACTGAGCCACAGAGCCAAAACGAATATGTGTAATTTAAAATGGAACAACACAAAGAAACAGTTGAAACACCGCAGATCTGAATTTCACCTGATTTCTGTAAATGACCAATCCAGCACCGTTGATGTGAGAATAGAAAGATAAAAGCAAACTGTATTTTAGATCGTCCAGGTGAAAGCCGTTTGCAAACATGCACTGCAGACCTGAACGTCTTTACACGTGAGGCGCATCAGCATGTCTAATGCAGGCAGATCAGCTGTTAATGCAGCCCAGCGTACATGAAGCATCTGCGTTAATCGTTATCTTTTTCTTTACAGGTTACTAAGCTTAATCGGACATTTTTACTTAAGATGTGTCGGCTAAAACTTCTAAACTTCAAACCTTCTTCTTGCATCTTCATTACTGATGCACATTTTTCTCACATCATGCAGCTATAACTGAATTTTATTACTGTACAAACCATGCAAATGGAGAAAAATAACACTGTGTACTGAATCATAAATATGGTGCTTGAGGGCAAAGAGGAAAGAAAACACGGGAGCATGCGATCCATAAGTGATGCTGCTGACAGGTGAGGGAAGAACTTCTGTGGGAGTATGGAGGAGCAACACGACACGAGCGCACTCAGATACTTTATCGTACATCAGCAGAAGAAAGGATCTCCTGGGGAGAACCAGGCTGTCTCCACTGCCTCAGCAGAGCTCGGTCATTATCCTCCACTGAGAAACAGTCGGCCAGCTTCTCCTAGCAGCTCGTTTGGTTATGTTCCCGTCTACGTTCACATCTTCTCCATGAGAACAGTCTAAAAGGATGAAGGTCGTTCTGTTTCCTTTCTGATTTCTTTAAACGGTTTAAATAACTAATACAGAATGAAAGCATTGCAACTGCTGCAAACAAAACAGTGACAAAAAAGTGTGTGAGAAGACACACGCTGAACACTAGTTCAGTATTTAAAGTGCTGTGTGTGTTTATGGCTTTAAGCACGTTGCTCAGTGAGACTGAGAAAGAACCAATAAATTGATAATATTGAGCCTATTTCATGTCAGCAATGAAAGCTGGCTAAACAGACGACTTTGTGGTGTCACAACTCTCACTGATTATAACAGAGCGTTTTGTTAATGTTTAAAGACAGGTCAGGATGTTGTTCTTTCAGGTGTGGCCCAGGTGACGTTTAACCATCCGAACGTAAGAAATATAAAAATTTATTCAAACGTATCATCGGAAATTTAATACAAGTCCACAAGTACAAATTTAGGATCATATAAACTAATTATTGCTAATTAGGCAATTACATTTGGTGACCACACACACACACACACACACACACACACACACACACACACACACATACACACACACACACACACACACACACACACACACACACACACCCCAATCAGTAAACCCAGGGTAGGGTAATGCAATGAGCAATGGGAGAATTTGCCTCTGGTTGTCACAAAGTGATACGGATCAGACCGATATAGCACATGAAGCTCCGCCCGGGGTAACAACCAGCCTCCTCCTTTAACTTTCTAATCTGCAGCTTAAGCTAACTGGATTCAGCAGCTAGTCAGCTAGCCTGTGGCAGGTAGCCAAAACGATAATAGTTGTCAAACGCAGACGTATGAATCAAACGGCCGGCACTTCCTGGTAGAAACTGGACTGTGGATTCTCGGTCAGGTGGGCTGAAAGCTTGTTTTTAGCAGCTACGGGTAACAAACAGGTTGCAGTGATGGGAGGCAGGTGAAGCTGAAGCCCAGACTTCTCTCTGACTGAGAGAAGGTTTTTATAACTCTCTGTAGTAAAGACACGGACGTCGACACAGCTCGACAACCTTTCTCACTTCCTGGTTCAGACATTTAAAGTTAAAGGAAACACTGAATACAAAACGAATGATTTACACCAGGGACTGTACGGAGACGGCATGGAGGAAATGATACAAGCCAGAAATATTACTGAAGGCTCTGATTCAGTCAAATGACGGTCTGACTGCTAATCTATAAAACTCACGAGGCTCACTTTGGATCCACTCCTGCACATCTCCCATCCACCATAGGCTCACTTCTACAAACACTGGCGTAGACTCGAAGACACACAAGAGCCATTCTTTGCTGGATTTAACGTCTTTATAATGATGATGAGCTTCAGTTTAGCAGTCTTCTCTTCTGAGTACGTGCATTAACTTTTACAGAGCCCAAGGACCTGCACTGCTACTATGCTAGATGTGCTACTCAGATGCTGGTACGCATAAATCTACCAACGAAAAACAAATCCAGGTACTTTTCATTTGAATGACAAAACCGATCTGATGACGGGCCGTTACACGTCATGGCGCCCTGTAGGTCTGATACCCACCCAGAGGTGCTACTCTGTCCGAGTGGCAGCAGAGATACCATACCATTATCCAGGGAACATCCTTACACAGGTGTTGCCACCGCCAGTACGTAGCACAGCAAAACTCTTCGCATCAGCTGCCTGGAAGGTTATTTCCAAGGATTTCTACTCAAATAACTCCAAGATAGCATCCAAGCTAGCACGTTAGCAGCAGATTCACTGTGCTAAGCTCCGCCGCGAGTCACGCTTTATGTTCTCGTTCTGGAGAGTCATGAACCAGGGCTGTGTCAGTCACGCTCTCTCTTCATCTCACACTCACAAATACAGATCAAGAGACGCAAAGGTAAGAGGATAAGCTGGAAGCAGCCAGATTAAAGACAACCTCAGCTTCTCTGGACAACACAGCTTCTTTGCAGCCATCTGAACTTAACAGGCTAAATTTACTTCTTGGTCTTGTGAAAACACTGACCTACAGCAAACAACAGAACGTGCTTTTGTTTGACGTGCCAGCAATCACTGCTGTTCGTACGATCGCTCCATCGTTACTCTCACTGTAACTGTGAGACGCAAATGTGGAAAACTGAGCTGAAAGCCACAAACCAATGTGACACACCCACATGCATCTCTCTGTGTTTGTGGAACAATGTGGATCTAAGGTATAATGAGGTCAGGGAATCATGTGGCATGAAGTTGGCTAAGAAATCGTTTTAGAATAAAGTTTTTAAAAAATCAGATTTGTGGAGACGTGTTGACAGAATAAGTGTACTGCTACATCACACACTACTTCTTTTAAAAGGCTTTTTGCAAGAATAGACACACTATCACCTGCTTATGTCGAGCTTAGTATGCGAGGACGTCCTCAACACAATAACAGTAACCAATTTTTTTCTTTTCTTTTTTGTCTTAAACTCTTTGCCGTAGAGTAAAAACTTGCTGTTTCTGAGTGACGTAATCATGTTTTTAGACACACTGTGCTGTAGATCAAACGTCTGGGCTGGTAATAAGGCTTTGTATCTGCAAACCACAGCGTGTTTCTAAAGTGAACTGTAGGGTATGAAAAGGTTTCATTATCAAGCCTTTTTCAGCTCCTTCATTTTACACAAGCAAAGCAAAGTTTCTCTCATCAGGACAATATCTTTAAGGACTCGTGTAACGTCCTGTACTGCACACGCTGCACTATACTACACTTACTGACCCTGAACAGTCTTTCACAAATCAATCAGTAACATCAGGCAGAAATAAAACCACCCATTCAAATACTTTTGTTACATAAGAGCCGGCTGGGACAGAGGTGGCTGTCAGCATGGGAAGACACACTCGACAGCATCAACATTCATGTTCTCTGGTTCAGACTTTGACAAGAACTCACGATTCATATGAAGGAGTGATGGAGTCACGAAGCTGGAAGACGACATGAAATAAGAATCTGGGTCAGTGGGTTTAAAAACAGCAGGTTTTAATTGTAACGCTGTCGGAGCTGGAACGCACGCCGGGAGACGTTTGTGGTGTTTCCTGAGACGTTTGCTCTCCAAGACCGAGGACGGAGGTGCAGGAAGAGGAAGATGGAAATGGGAAAATGTCCGTTTCACTCACTACAATATGGCAGAACATCACACAGTGAATCTATCACATCCCTGAAATATTTCACTTTTAGTCCCTGCTTTTTTATTTAACCTCCCACTGAGATTCAAAACCTCTTTCTTAAGGGAGACCTGGCCGAAACAGGCAGCAGCAAGTATCTCACAGTTACAAATATTACACAATTAAACACAGGCAACAACAACAACACACACAAACAAAATGTAATTAAAATGACATCAGTCTCATTGAAACAGGTGTGGAAGGATTCTGAGTTTTAATTTTTCAGTGGTTCTGCAGCTCGGTCCAAGCCGAGGGTTCAGTTCGTGCAAACAGAACAGAAAGCAACAAGATGAAGAGAATAAGCACCAGCACGTTTCGCTGCTTCGAATTCAGGAACAAATATTTACAAATAATCAAACGTTCTGCGCGACCTACAATCAGACGGGGCTGCACCTTCACATGCAACAGGCTCCTCCCAGCAGCCTGTGTTTACTGGTATACAGTGTTGGTCAAGTTACTTGAAAAAAGTAATCAGTAACTAATTACTTCCCCAAAAAAGTAATCCCGTTACTTTACTGATTACTTATTTTCAAAAGTAATTAATTACTTAGTTACTTAGTTACTTTTTAAAAACACGATTTACAACCTGAAGAGGTGATAAAGCGATAGATCTTTCAGCCCAATTCTACTTTTTCTGCATAATCCATCATACAAAATGTAATCAAATGGAAAAGTCTCTTTTTAAACTTGTTTTATTAGTTTTAATCTTTTAACTTTATGCATCAAGCAAAAATTTAATTATATGCAACATTCTCTGACTGGAAGAAATTAGTTTAACATTTAAACCTATTTTCTGCACATTCCAGCACATAAAATAAAATATTTTTGTGTTTACACTCAGTCTTTCAAATAGATGCAAGTAAAACACAGCAGAAAAATAAATAAAGTCAAAGACTCAGCGGTCCTGTTGCTCTATTTTCACCTGTAAAGCAGGAGTGGGGTAGGCGGAGGTTACCCTGGTGCAGGTGTGCGCGCGGTCAGTGGAAGAATCCGCGAGTTTCTCTGTGAGTTTCCCATTACGTCTAGGCTACTCGGTGCTTGCTTGGAAGTTTAGGGGTTTTTTCGCTGTAAAAAGAAGTTTTCTTCCCACGCACATGGACGCTAATGTTTTTGTCACTTTTTATGGAATCAAACTCAAAGTAAGGTCAGTACTTCCACGCTTTAAACGCTGCACGCTCAACTCTCTCCCACAATCGATATATGATCCATTGTTGATCTGCACACAGCTGTCATGAGACATTCTCGCAAAAAATCACGGTTTTAGTAAGCAGTAACGCAGCGTTCCTACAGGAAAGTAACGGTAATCTAATTACCGTTTTTGCAATAGTAATCCCTTACTTTACTCGTTACTTGAAAAAAGTAATCAGATTACAGTAACGCGTTACTTGTAACGCGTTACTGCCCATCTCTGCTGGTATATGTCATCACCTTCTAGCAAGAAACCTCCACATCTTGGTAGCAGCTGCTGCTCGTATTAATGCAAACTTTATACCAACTTGTGGTTCCTGGTAGCGTCAGGAACACCATCAGCACAAACTGCATTCCCACCACTCAGAAGAGTCTGATGCTCTCCTTTTCCCCTTACAAACACTACTCTTCAAACCAGCTCTAACCTGCTGAAGTTTTATTTTTTTAAATTGTTTTATTTATTAATCCTCCCCTCCGCTTTAACAAGCTACAAGCCATCAATTTTCTTGGAGCAGTTTCACATTAAAAGCTTTCCAAGTTATTCTCTGTGGAGCAACATTGGTTAGTAAGGCCTTGTGCATTGCAGAGTTTGGCCAGGCAGGTCAAAATTTCGAGGCAGGTTCTTGTAGTGACTAAAAATGCTGAATAATCATCCAGAAACAATTCAAAGTCCATCTAAAACAAACCAGGTATCAAATGAACACCTGAGCGTCTCAAGTGTGAAGTAAACACATAACATTCAGGCGCACTGCTGCAGGACGCTGTTTTAGGGGTGGCCTTACGGTGTGTGACGCCCGCTAGGGTCTGGTAGAAAGTGGGCGTGTCGCTGTCATCCGTCAGGGTGACACACACTCCTCCCGACAGCAGCCATCTGGACAAAGTGAAGGCTTCCTTGTCCTGCAGGAGCCAGTTCCTGAAGCGATCGTAGTTGACCTTGTCTCCCTGCACAAACACAAAGGCAAAATGAATCTGCTGTCGCCAAAACACCCGATCGCCAGCCGTGTGCCGAGTCCATCCCCGTTTGGCTATTTAATGAGGAAAGGCTTTGGCCCGTCGCTACGGACTCATTAGCTATTGTTATTCATCAGTCAAAGTGTTTTGGGGTTTAGGGCTTTTAAATTTAAACTAACAAATTACACAAAGTCTGACAAATCGAATCATTCAGTCGTGACGAGAAGCACCGACTTCTGCTTCTTGAACGTCTTTTTCCCCCAACAGAAGTTTACTGACATTTTAAAGAAGTCAGCTCATCAAAATGAGTGACAAGTGCCGGGGCAGGACTGCAGAAAGTAGCCAAGGACGAGGGCGCAAACATAGATAAGGGAAATGCACTTTGCTTCACATCAAGGTGGAAGCTCTATTCAGTTGACAGATGTCAGTTTCACGCTGCAAACATCAAACAGAGAACGACAGACGAGGCTCTAATATAAGAAACCTGATGAATCGTAACGATCCCCGATGAATGCAAATGTTCCCTCGTGCACAAACTTAGAGCTACTGTAGGAACGGCCTCGTGCACACCTGGACTACCAGTGGCCGAGGCAGCAGGTAATGCAGCCACCCCTTTAAAACAAAAGTGACGCTTAAACATGTTATATGTCACAATGGCTTTGCTAAGGCCTGAACTCTGTATGTGTGCTTCAGTCAGCGAGATGATTGGCACCACAAACACAAGCTGGTCAAAATAGAGCGAGCCGAGCTGCAACACCTCCCTCTAGAAGGACTTGACTTAAATTATTTTGATACGTCAGCGATAAATAATGTTAACAGCTGCACATAAACTGTGCAACCACATTACGTACATGTGTGTGGACGTTAGCCTACATGCTGGTGCTAGCACTGCTAATGATAGCTCCAATAAACTCATTGTGAAATCATTGAGTGATATTTATTGTGCTCCAAGAAGGCTCTTAAATACACGTGCACTATTTTCAGTTGAACCTTAGGTTTGGCTTCTTTTGATGTTTTAAAACTCTTTACGGCAGCGGTCCCCAAGCGGTCGCCACTTTTATGTCCGACAATATTTTCACAGACCGGCCTTAAAGGTGTGGCGGATAAATACAACAAAATAAAACCAGTGCCGGTGTCGTGCCAAAGTAGGTATCCCCGACAATGTTTCCCCTGTGCTGGGAGCACGCAGGAAGTACTGATGTTTTCATTTTGTGAAAAAGTGAAAAATTAGTATCGTTACATTACCATTCAGTTTGAGGGTTACTACAGAAAATTATATATTTATTGCTCAGATGGGATTATTTTAACAAACCATTAACATTTTGGCTGATAACTATTTTTATTCTCCTGTAACTTTACTATATAAAGAGCTAAATCCTCTAAAGTTTCAGGAGTAATGCGTCATAATAAGAAGTGTTGTGAACTAAAAATCAGCAATGTGGGATGCCGTTTGTCCGTGATTTGGACAGTCCAGCTTGTGCTCCTGACGCAGGGGAACCTAGTTTGGCACGACACCGGCACCAAACAAAAAGGAAGATTTATTCATAACACACAGGAAAAGACGCAGGGAAACCAAGTTAATGATAAAAACGATAAAAGAATAACGCTAAAAGCCGATAAAAACCCTGAAAACCATGAATTCCCCCCCGGAGCCTCAACTCTTGTGGCCCAGTACCAAACGACTTTTTTGTTTCTCCTGCACACAAACAATATCCCGACTCTGTTTAACCCACAAATAAGCATCTAAACAAATGAAACAATCAGTCTTGGACATGGATTTGGTTAGTGGTGATTTCAGAAGTGAACATGTAATTGCAGAAGGATAATAATGGACATAAACATCATCGGGGGAAAATGCAACACCTGAGTATTAGACTTTCTTGTGTTGTGTCTCTAGAGATGTTTGCATGCTTTAAAGGAGGTGGGAGTGGGGAGGTTTGCATGCTTTCAGGTGGTATTTTAATAACCAGCACAATGACTCGCTGATAAGCCAAACTTTGTATTATCACAGCGAGGAGGCTCCCTGTGCGCTCCTAGTAACAATGGCTCTTTTATAAGCATGTGACTGAAACCTCTGCAACGATCAAGCGCTCTGCGATAGAAGCTGAGGAGTCATTAGTCTGCAGCTCACTTGCATGAGTGCATGAGTTAACAGATTAATGCTGTGCAGTCTTTTGCAGCGTTTGCTCACCTCGCCGAAGGACTCCTTCAGGGATGCCGGGACTTCTCCATCCAGGACCTGCAGAACTGCTTCTATATCTTCCCTGGCAGCATATCCCCCCAGATCACTGGCAAACAGGCTGAAGAGGTCTGTGCACACAAACACACAAAGAAGAAAGCTCAGCTTTATCACAGGAACGCAGGCGTCCAGCACACAGCAGCAATGAGCTGATAAAAGTCGCAATGTCAATAATGTCCTGATGGATTTGAATGCCTGCGACATGTGAGATACGACTGCCAGAATGAGCCTGAGGAAGAAGAGACGAACCAAAAGCATGAAAAACAAAAAGAAACGAAACGTTTCAATCACTGTGGTCTCAAAACAGTCGCTCCTTCAGCTTGTAGCCTATCCTACAAAGAAATCAACCAGATGTCTCACACAGTTCTGAGAGTTTCCGGCCCATGTGTGCTTGGACAGTTAAGGTGAGCGAGCTTTTCTGAAGCTGTACATGTAGAAATACCTTCTAAAAATGATGTTTTGCAGTAAAACAGAACCACTGTCATCAGTCCACTGACAAGTTCAACATTTCAATGTTTTGTTCCCAGATTAAATTCAAGTGTTTCGCTGCAGTTCCGACTTCGCTGACTCGCTTTTTCATAGTTTTCAGTCACGTGAGCGACTCGCCACCCTGTCGGGCAAAACATCGCTCCATCATGACTGTCAGCAGTGGACGGTCAGTAGTACTGCAAGACGAAAGTTTTGTTTTTATCTCGAGCCAAGACTACGTTCATCTCTTCATGGAGGGGAGACAAAGATATGAAGAGAAACCGTGATTTTTGGGGACTTGTGACCTGCTGGATGGGTAAATAACACCACCGTGTGGGAGGCGAAGAACAAGAAACTTCAGCGTTAAAGCAAAGATAACTGCTACAGCTAGCTTCAAGTACCACGTGTAAATCTAACATTTGGTTGACTTGGACATTTACAGTGTCGGGCCAGGAAGTATGAGGAGCATTCATTTGTCACGTGTCAGAATATTTGTCCAGTGTCGGCTAAACCATTCCTACAGTTTCAATGAGCCGCCACTGACAGCCTGGTTGCCGTGGAGAATGATTTGGCCTGTAAGGCGGGGTAGGCGTAGGTGTGTTCACAGGTTGGTGCCATATGCCACGCCCTCCTGGAAGCTGGTGCTGTGCCAAGTTAAATCTGAAGACGTTTAGAGGACAGCTGGAGGACCGCAGTACTGTTTTGTCTTCCAGGTGGACGTGTCCCAGTAGTGATGTGACAACTATGAATACTGCATCTTTTCTCTTTGATCACAGTGTATGTATATATGCATGTACCCCATCTCCTCCTTAACGAGTGCGTCGACGAATGTCATCACACATACAATAAATATTAACATTTAAAAGATTTTTAAGAAAAACTTTTATTGTAAAGCCCCAAATCTGTTTCGTTTATGTTAATTTCATCATTTGTTTGTTTTGTCACGTTCAACATATGTTGCCTATACATAACTCGACGGATGCCAACATCCGTATCCGGGATGGATTTTGTTCCAAGTAACACTTAACATGGAACAAAGAATGGAGACAGATATTATAAAGGACTAAACCGCAGGTTAAAATGAGTGATTGCAGAATTATTGACCCAGGAGACTAGTTTCTTAAAGTTTACAGATATAAAATTAATAGTGGGGAAAAAATAGCTGTGGAACGAGTCGTCTCATTATTTGTTTTATTAGCTTCTAAAATACAACAAAGAACAGTTTGATGACCTCAACAGAAATCTACATAATTGTTCATCTTTCAGTATGAAAGCAAACATCCAAGACAGCACTGGACGAGGCTTAGGATAAATGTCCGAGTCAAAGCCCAGAGGGAAATTTCACCAAGTAATCGTGGAACAAATCCAGGAGTCTGTCGGGCCTTTACACGGCTGAGATACTGAGAAGTGTTCACAAGGGTCAGCTGCTAATTAGTTCTTCACATTTTTAAACAGTACCTTCAAAACACGAGGCCTGTTAATACCTGTGCCAGAGCTCAGCCTCAGAAACAGCATTTAGTTCAGCTAAAGCTAGCTCGAACCAGCCTGATGCTGATTATTTGGTGGTGGAGATATTACCGAGTGCAACTCGCTATGAAAAGAGGTAGAGTGAAAGCACTTAAAGGTAAATATATATGACAGGAAATACAGCCTCCGGATGTTTAACCATGACACCCCGTCTACATGCAAAGGGGGTTCGTTTTAGCAATTTAGAAATACTTTAACAAATTACTTTTCGTAGTAGGTAATGATGTAATAAATTACTTTAATGACAGTAAGTATGTTTATCCAACTGTGGCAGTAGCCATGGCAACCCCTGATCACTCCTTGACTATAATTAAACTGCATTAGCTTAAAGCTAACATTATATCTCATAAAAAACAAATTTTAAAACTACTTTTATTCTGTTTTTTGTTTTTTGTTTTTTAAAGCGAGACAAGAGAGAGGGAAATGAAATCAACATCTCCTGGCCTAAACAGATACTTACACTTTGCCTTCTCCTCATCACGTCCTCTGGTCAGAAGCACCAAACCCACGATCAGATTGTTAAAGTGCAGCCCTTTGGCAGAGCCTCCAAACGAGGTGTAGATCACCTAAAACACACACATAATCGTGACGTTAAACACGAGCTGCTCCACCGCCTGTAACACGATCGAGACGTCAGCCCATCCAAACACCACAGTGACAAAAGCTGCCAATGTGTGAGCAAAGAAGAGTTTTGACCAACGTCATCAGGTTTCACCGACAACTGAGAAAAAAAACAAAACCATTTGAAGTTTGTCGTTCAAAAATATAACAAATGTAACATTTAACATAACAGCTTGGATGCAGTAATGTTGGTGACATGATTCTGGAATACTGCAAGACCTACAGTACGATGTCAGTAAAAGGAAAGCTGACAGGAGGAAGGTACTTCCTGTGCTGGACTTACAATTCATTTTCAGTTCAGTTTCTCAGAAGTAGCCCTGGACTAGTTTCTGTGGAACTGTGAGAGAAAATCACCCAAAACAAAAATAGAGAAATGTGCTCCTCATCTTTAAAACTATATCAGCTCATGTTACGGAGGCGCTGCTGTCATTAAGCTAAAGGACACGCTGATGGCTTGCATAACATGACTCTGCAGTCAGGAGCTGATGAAGCATGTCCATGCCAGCAGGTCACACAGAGTACAGAAGCTTTATTTGTGGCTTTTAAAAACACGGAAGTCACACTGTGTCATACGATGCAAATTCCTAAATCCAACACTTTCACCGTCATCTGCCGCCCCTTCGTCACACACTGCTGCTTAGAGTCCCAGAGAGCAGCCATTTGGCTTTCTACCTGGTAGGTGTTTAGCTAGGCTTTATCTTCAGCCAAGTGGAAGCTAAATTGG